GGTTAGGGCCCGAGGGGGGCGATCCCAGCGCCCTCCCTCTTGTCGCTGCCCCTTTGTCATGTAAGCGTGCCGCCATTCAGGGCCAGACTTCAGAGGGGTCTGCCGGGGGGAATACACAAACGGGTAGAGCACCGGGACCGGCGCCGGGTCTGTCACAGAAACAAACACCCGGTCCCCGACACACGGGCATCGTGAAATTCCACTGCGCTTGCGGCACAACTCCTGCAGGCTCCAACACCTTGAGACTCGAACAGCACCCCTCTGCTCTGCAGCGAGCCCCCAGGCCAGATTAGGTTATGTTGTGCGATGGGGTTTACAAAAAGTCTACATACTTTCGTATTTTTACAGCACATCACTTTTTTTTTTTTTCCTTGTTACGCTGATCAGCCCTAGATTCGGTGTGAAATACTTATGAAGAAATGCAGAAAATTAATTTCAGCAGGTGTAGATTTCATTATCAGTACTGATTTCATTAAGCCGCTTTCCCCTCTACTAGTCAGCAGATACTAAGAGCATGCACAGCTTATGTAAGATAGTCCAGGGAAGGTGTTTGGTTCGTTAGACATTAAATTCCCTAGAAACCCAAAATTACTCATTTTGTTTAGAAAAGGAGCTGCTTTTGCTATGGAAAAATAAAACTTATTCCACAGTCCATTAAAATGGCAGCTTCTGCAACACCAAGTCACTTTTGCTTTGCACTTCAATTTTTACTCATTCCTCCATTTTATTAAAAACAGTACTTAAAAACTTTTTTTATACAGAAGACTGGTTTGACAATACAAATATGGTCAGTTTTTTACCTAATTACAGGAGTAATCTGAGTTCATTTAATGCTTTGCTTGAGCTTCATTTGTCTCCTTTGGAATTACTGCCATTTTTCTGATCAATTCAGATGTGCCCTGTCCTTCCTGCAAGTCAATACTCATGAAAATCAAGCTGATCAGGAAAGAAAGAGGGGCATTCAGAGCAACGGTCTGCCTATATAGCCAGCCCCAAAATACACTGTGTGAATTAATGAGCCATAAGGAGGAAGGCGTATTAACAACCAACCACATCAAGGAATTCTTTTCTTTCTCCTCTTAGCTGGATATATTGGATTAAAAGCCGCTATGACTGACTCACAGATGCCAAAGTTTTGCATGCTTACGTCCCGCTTGTAGGTCAATGAGACTACAATAATTGAGACAGCAAGATGTTTCAGTGAAAAGGATCTAATTTGTTTTGCTGGCAACACAGGGCAGTTCACGCTGTATGCTTTATACATACCCTATTATTGACAGCAAGCCTGTTTCTAGTTTGAACTTGTGAACCCATTTGTTAGGACTGTTGAGACAGGAAAACAACAACAACAACTACTACACAAGCAATGTCAAACTTTTATTTCAAACTTTTGCAATACTGCATTAGTTACTGATTGATACGGAGAAAACCTCCCAGCAGTTTCTTCTCTTTATATAAACATAATACTGCAACTTTACAGCAATCGGAACCCTGTCTCTAAAATACTTCTGTGTAACTGCAAGCGGGTTAAAAAAAAAAGGCTAATTTTTTGTATTGTTGATTTATTTCTGAACTATAGTCTGCCCTCATGATTTCAAATTCTATGGCAGTAAAAATTTCCAGCTATGTGGACCCGTAGTGTGCTGTCATCAACACATAAAATACACCGTTAAACTTCATGTGGTTTTGAGTCCCATGACCACAAATTAAAGTTATAGGAATGAGAAACAACATGTGGAAGAGTGAAATAGGTACAGTTGGCCCAGAGTCGCACAAAGAGTACAAAGTCAAAGTAGGCACTGCAGAAGGGAAAATCAAATGCCTTCATTTTCAAAACAGGTCATTCCTGACAAAGACACCAGCGAAGCACAGTTCATCAGAATAAAGACGAGGCTTTTCTGATTCATATTTGAAAGACTCCAGTTTTTATCGGTCTGCATGAACAAGACTTAACTTTGTTTAAAATACTTCTTAGAAACTGCTTCGCTCAAGTTGTCTTTTCCTTTTCAATTGTTTTAAAAACGAGAATTATTTCAGCTAGCACAAGCTGGGCACAATCAATTTCACAAGCAACCGTTCTTTACACACTGCCTATCCCAGCAAAGAGCATGTTTAGATGGAGCTTTTGAATCAGTTTGTTTTACAGAACTAAATCAAGATTGTTTTTATTTTGTTTTGCTTTTTTAAGCACCTTGTGTGCCACAGAGCAAGCTCTGAAAAAACACACACATCTGCACAGTAATATCGTTTTCCTGTCTGGTTCGGTTTTTATACCGATCTCGAGCAACGACTGTTTCTGTTGTGCAGGCTTGTTTTTTGACACTTGCCTACTGCATCTATTAAGATGTTAACAAGCAGTAAGCAGCGTGGAAAAAAAAAACCCAAGGCATACACCAGTCCCGGAAACCACTGGGCAGAACAGAAATTATGTATAATAGAAGAAAACCTTCAGAGATCTGCCTTTGGCTTTTTGCTTGTTTCTGAGAGGCACTTATGAAAAAGAGGTCCAGCTTAAGAGGTCCAGACACCAAAGAGGCACTGGTACATATCAAACTAACATGCAAAAGGTAGAAGGATTGCAAGATGCATGGCCTAGCAGCTAGGCCATTGGAACAGGAATTAGAAATTTTCCTTTCAGTGCCAAGCTCTTAACTGACTGGAGTAGTTAGTTGGTCCTGGGCAGAGATTTCCGCTGCGTGCCTCAGTTTCTCCATCTGCAACACCTAACCTCTCTGCTGAAACGCTTTGAGGTGCACATACAGAAATCAATAAATAACACATGAATCTTAATGGGTTTGTGACAGATCCTTTAGAAAATTAGACCCCTTTCCCCATGTTCCATAAAGAACTAGAAATATTTATAGGATTAAAAAAATATTTTTTTTCTTTTTTTTTAACACTATGTTTAGGAAGTAAAATTCAACAAGACAGCTCATGTAGAACTGCTAACCAGTTCTACATGTTTCACGTTTCTACAGTGAATCCAACGGCGCAGAAAAGGGTATATTTAAACGCCTATAAAACCGAATTTGGCAATATTTGCACGACAGAATCCTAGCCCAGACATTTTAGCTTTTAATTAAAACAGTGGAACACAACACTAGTTCTACACTTCTTAGCCCTTACTGTTTACTTATCAATCCTTTTCAACTCCAGAGAATGAAAACTCTTTGTGCTTAGTGAAGGCAATCAGTTCCTGTTCTTACCACCTTCTCCCTCCATAGATTATATAAAGTAAGAAAAGGCAGACAGAAGGAATACTTTGCCAAAGAAAAGCAGTCCTA